GATAACAAAGGATCTATTGTAAGCGGACGCACAAAAATTGTGTTTTCCCCATTTCAATGTTTCAATGAAATAAAAGTATACACCGGTGATTCATTCTATTCCATCTTCATTGTGAAGTTTATCGTCCAGCACCTTAGCATTGGACGATTATTGAAGGTATTACGGGATGCTGCTGACTGATAAAGCGTATTAGCTGTCTGAACTTGATGCAGAAAATAAAATGAGGCATTGGATGACAATTTCTACTCAAGTTTGGAATGTGCGTGTTATTCTTTTATGATTATGTTTCAAGGGTTGAGTCATTCATGACATGTCTTGTGCTCAGTAGCCCTTTGTTTAATCACGTACTAGTTGTGAGACTTCTAGCAGATCGCAGTTCATTACCGCTAAGAAACATTTGCAGTGTCAGGAACTACTTCACCTGCATAATCGATGGTGACCCTACCCTAACGGGTCAAACCATCTCAAACGGATGCTTATTGGAACAGAACATGCCCTTGGTTCGTGTGCAGGTTTCGTGCCGTGGAAGTGTGTTGATGACTGGTTTCCTGACAAGCAAGATGTATGTAGTACTGTTTGAAGGCACTACTTTACTTGATGCTCTGAACTTCCAGAACTCAACTGCAGTCAACATTCATAGTGATTATAACGCCGATTCTTGTGAACATGCTTGACGTGACTCATGAACGCAAATTCAATTGAGAAAATACCGTTTCCCGGTCTATTTCTATCTTTTATGGAACACTGATATATTGTATCGGTTTGCTAAAAGTTGTGGTTGTCTCATTATTCCATACCGTGAGTCAAGTTGGTGTGCCATTCACCATGCCATTTGTTCTGATTGCAGGTTTTGAACTCAGTCGTATGCGGAGCGTCAGCAGCTTAAGATCTTTTCGACATTCCGTTCAGGATTGGCTCTAATGACCTGTTTCGACGTATCATTGGGATCGCTCACTGCTTTTCACACGTATTTCTAGAGCGTGGGATGGTTTAGACCTAGGTGAATGTTTATATATATGTACACAAAAGACTGTGATCAGTATCAAGACACGGTTGGGAAAAGAAAGCATCGTTGGGCACTGACGGAAAGGTGGGGGTAGGTTAGTCCCGTAACAAGGTTATTGACCACGATCTCTTTACTTCCGTTGGATCAAATACAACTGTGCATACAGGAAGACAACAGATACAGGCGTACGAATGCTATCTTAGTTTGCAAAGAAGGTTGAGCGTCAGCGGTATGATTTAGATTCTTCAACTCCGAGTCTATGTTCACGGAAGGATTTAGGTGTCAAGAAAATTTCAGAAAGGTGTCCCGGAGATCTAGCTGCTGTGCAAAAACGAGACCTGTGACCACCCGTGCGCGACCGAGAGACAGTCACTTCGTAGGCGTATAATATTCAAGCTAACATTCAAGGTGATAATGGGTTGCGTGACCACTGGTTATATATATTCAGATAGAATCCCTGGTTCTACAAACCACATCTACAACATACCGGCAATACGATTGTTTTGGCATCTCGAACATGACTCTGCGCAAAGGACTTTCGAATAAATCATCTGAACAGGTCCCCAACAGCTAACGTGTTTCACACCCCTCCCTGTTGTTCGCATGTGACGGTTTAGAATTGGTTGTTAATCATTCATTCAAATTTGCTCTTTTTTGATCAGGGCACCCTTGAAGTGTTCCGCCCATGATTAAAACAGACTGACGTTTTGTTGAGGACTTTTGCATCATTTGCTTGGCACGTTCGGCCCACGTGTGGATAACAATATAATTCAATGCCTGTACGGCCTCGAAGTCATTCCTCATCACTTGGAGACAGGCCGCGCTAAGTGCCACACCGGTGGGAGATTAGGTATTGATGTTCTGTAGACCAAACCTGAGAGTTGATATGGTGAATCGAAACTTAAGGGCATGGGCTGTAGAGTTTACTTGGTAAGTCGTGTTTCGGCATCATCGTCCAGAGGTTGACTGTTAATGCGGATTGTTGTCTTCGGAGTTGGGTTTGCTAAGAGCGTACAGGATTGTGGCTGTAATGTTGGCGCAGGCCAGCAGCCGATTCGTCCGGTAGCAGCCGTAAAAACCCTGTTGAATGCTTAGCTTCCAGTTTACACTTAGAACGACGATCATAAGTCTGTGTCGCGCACGTCTAACCCAGACCGCCAAAAAAAGCACAAAGAGGAAAAATTCCGATTTCCTTATGGGTTGCCCAAGTCGAAGAAGTGATTTTTTTGGGGGGAATCCACAACCGCAGGCTTCGTTTACTCAAAGCCTGAATCGTGAGACTGGGGCGGTTTGTGGATACCGGTCACCCGGGAGCCAATGTCCTTATAGAGTCAAACGTACTA